GGTCAGTTGACCACTTCTCCACATGTAAATAAATCTCTGTTGTTCGTTCGGGCGCTTCTTCTCGCTGAATTGTTGGACGATGGATCCTGCGACGGGGCCAGCTACCAAAAACGAGACCGGCAGGACCCGGAGTCCCAACAACTCTGTACTCGTCAGCCTCCTCTTTCGTGAGGCGCGCGATTACTTCTGAGGCCTCCCCCGGAAGTAGGGACAACAAGCGTTGAGGCCACGTATCCTGGCTGAAACCTTGCCTTTCACAAGTTCTCTCAAAGTTGACGAGAAACAGCCCAATGTCCTCCCCTAGCTTGTACGATCTCATTAGGTCCGTCATTTTGAACCTGATCCGCTCTGCGGTACCGGATGCCTCGCTGCCTCCTGCTCTACTATTATGGCTAATCTCTAGCTCGAGGCGTTTCATTTCAAGCTCGTGCTTTCGCACCTTATCTGCCTCGGCTTCTGCCGCTTTCCTTTCGGCCTCGGTCGCGGCCGCCTTTCTTTCGGCCTCTGCCGCTTGCCTCTCCTGAATCTCCTCGACACATTCTGACAGCTCGTCATCCTCCGCCCCCAATGCGAGAATCGCCTCTATCAGCTCTGGCTTTCTTTGAGAGTCCGTCACCTCCAGATTCAACTCCCTTGCAAGAAGCAACAAGATGGACTTTCGCAGGGATTTCAGATTCATGGCTGCCTCCAGTACCGCTGTCTCTGTTCCACAAAGATTCCTGTCCTGCAACTAATTAACCTTGACGGCAACGACAGCTCTAGATACCTGCCCTGCCTCAAGTTTTCCGTTAACTTAGTCTACAAATAAAGCTTCAAAAGCTCTTACACGGAATCTTGCCCTGTCACTGTTAACCTTGACGCCACTGACAGAAAGAGCTTAACCAAGCTATCACACAATTTCTGCCTGACGCAAGTTACCTGTTAACCCAATGACCAAGACAGCCCCTCTCTACCAGCTTTTACTTAACACATAGAGTAAATGCCTGGTAAAATTTAACAGAGAAAGCCGGCACCCACCCAGTTCGCAGTCATGTCTCCGGTGTCGTGCCTCTCAGAAGTGCCGTTCGATTCCCTCTGGAAGTCGATGAGCTCGTGTCCTCCTTCTCCTGTCGTCCCGTTGTTGAACTTCGGGCTCACTCCGTCCAGTGGTCGCTTTCGGGGTTATCGGCATCCCGCCGCTGCCATCCAGTTGTTGGGACTCCGGGTCCTGCCGGTCTCGTTTTCGGTAGCTGGCTCCGTCGCAGGATCCATCGTCCAACAATTCAGCGAGAAGAAGCGCCCGAACGAACAACAGAGATTTATTTACATGTGGAGAAGTGGTCAACTGACCCAAAGAGAGAAGAGTGCGTGTAATACAAAACGTCTTCGGCTTTTTATAGCGCCGCGCCGTTGACACTGGGCGCCCCGTCCGCATCGTCAGCCAATACGGTGTCTCCGGCACCTCGGCCACGAGAGAGGGGGAAACACACCTCACAACACATGGAGTGGCACCACCTAACACGAGGTCCATATATGGTCACGGCGCCCTAAAATGTTACCAAACATGGTCACGAACGCACAGCAGACCCCGGAGCTCTCCCGGCGAGGAGGAACCCGAATGGGGAGGTGGGGGTGGACGACACCGTCGGTCAAGAACCGGTTCTCCCCCAAACTCTTCCTGCTTGGCTCCCCAGGGCCGGTCGTGACAAAGCGCACAAAAAGCAAATACTTGTAGGTCATTTCGAGACACCTGATTGGCTGTGGCCGCCATGTAGCCCCGGCTTTCCTCGCCATTGGTCCGATGCTCGCTCCAGGAGATCGTCGTCTGCTGCTTGTTTCGCGAGGACGTGGCTGTCAAAAATCGCTACTTTGTGGTGTGTTCATGGCTCGACGATCACTTTTCATGTAACTATGTCTTAGTTAGGAGCTGTAAAGGGATGCTGTGTCCGATTATAAGAGCGGGCCCGCGGTCTATAAGCACGGCGAGTCAACGGAGTCATCTTTTAGGCTCAACTCCACTGACGGCGAGACAAACGTTGTTGGCGAAAACGACGTGCTAGCGCACTCATGGCAACGTGCTCATTCGCAAGCAACAAAGCACATCACTTGCTAGCTCCTCGGAACCAGGGATGGGCATTTTGTGCATCGGCAGCAGACCCCACTGTCAAGCTCCTCAACCCCCCTGTCCATTGTCAAGAATTGCTCGGAACAGCGGCTAGCAGTTTCGTGTGCCCGCATTCGAAAATACGATAACAAGCGCAGTGTGCACCAGTTTTTTGTCATCGTAGGTACACATTTCGCACATCGTCACTGAAAGCTGCCGACAAGTGCTTTACACGCCGGCTGTGCTGTACAGTGGCTGCGCATTTCACGGTCATATGGAGGGCTATCCATAAGCTTTCGGAATGCAGTTTAGACGTGCTTGGAGCCTTGCTTGGCATCGCCGCAAGCGTCTATGAATGCTCTGAGACAATGAAAGCCTGATAGATTAGCGTTTGTGCGACTGGCCGTATGATGATGCGTTTCAAGGCTATAGTGGCAAAAGATCATGTATGAAGCAGGGGCACGAGCTTTTATATACCCGACTCACATCATTGAATAAACTGCAAAAAAAAAAGTTTCTGTGCCACCAATTTTCTGCCCGTAACTGTTAATCATTTTGAAAGAAGGCATACAGTCAAACCTCAATATATTGAACACAGATATATCGAATTATTCCTATATCGAACGGTTCCTATATCACGCGGGAAATCGCATGCATTATTGATTTTTTATTTCGAACAAAGTTTGACGTATAAAGGATATATCGAACTCAGCCACCCCAAACCGCCCGCGCTCTATTGACAGGCGACGAGCTTTCCCGCAATACTCGAAAGTAGCGGTACAGCGGCGGGCGTTTACGAATGCTGCACACATCGACCGTGCCGAGAGCGCCACTTTAACGTAGCGGCGTACGCACGCCGCAGCCTTGCGGTAGAGGTTCTTGAATGAGAAAAGTGAAGAGAAAAGCGCAGAGCTGTTATTGTCTTTCAATACGAAGGCACCGACACGGCTTCGTGCGGGGGAAGGGGAAGTGGGAGGTAATGTTCTCTAATTCGGCTAAGTTGTGTATGACATGTTAATTTTAGTTTTTATTTTATTTTGCCAGACTGTATTTCGGAGCAAAAGCCTCCGTCAGGCTATGTAGCCTTTTGCTTTTGCTTCGTTTTTTCTGTTGCACGTACAGAAAAATGAATAAATCTCAAATAAAAAAATAAAAAAAATAAAAAAGATTGAGGAGGAAAGTATAGGAGGGAAAGGAGGCAGACGACTGTCTCGGACGCGGCCCGCGCTGCCGCCATGAAAGGGAAAGCAGTCAGGCGAGCCGGCATGGGCGCGCCATGTGCGCGCTTTACACCCGGACTCATGCCGCAGCCTTGCAGTTGTTGCGGTCTCTATGGTGTCAACGGCACACTGCGCACTTGTTGCAAGCTCCTCTCCTGTAGCATCGGCAGGCATCGGTCGTTGTGCTCGCAGTGTTCGTGCGTTCGGAGTTAGGCCTGTTGCGCGCTGTGGTGCGCGACAGGCCTAACTCCGAACGGCGGAGCTCACGGATGTGGAGATTGTCGCCGAAGCTACTGCTGAGCAGCCAAATGAAGACTCTGCCGAGGTGGATCCCGCAAGCGCTGATAGTGCCCCGCTCCCGATATCAGCTGAGGTCGTAGCTGCCTTGGCCCTTGTGCACCGCCACTGCGGCGCGATTGAAGGCACCGGCCTATCACGTATGGATCACCTGGGCTATATTGAGGACGCAGTCGTCAAACACGCCATTGCCAACAAAAAGCAGGCTACTCTTTTTCAATATTTTAAACCAACACAATACATACTATGTTTGAATCTTCAAGTGTGTATTTACTGCACCACGCTTGAACGGTTCGTTGGTTGTTTTCAGCAAGCTGTTGCATTTTTTTCGTGATTTTTTTATATCGAATTCTGGATATATCGAACTATTTCGTGATCGCCGCGCCGTTTGATATATCGAGGTTTGACTGTAGGCTGATAATGGTGTGAGCCATTTGTCTTATGCAATAAGCCTCTCTATAAAAAAGTGTTCAGTGATTATTTGTAATCAAGAAGTAGCTAATTATGCTAATGACAGCTTGAACCGAAAAAAAGCCTAAATAATTTCAGTATATTCAGATACAATTTATTCTGTCATGCCTACTATCACACCACTCCTTCATACAGAGAACTTAGTTTAAAATCCATATTTGTTCTTTCTAGATAAAAAAAAGTTATCAAGAAAAAAAAATATATATATAGGCATCGAATGCACACGGGGCAGAGGCCAGTTGCCTGAGAAGTCAAATATGACAAGACAAACCTAAGATCAGTTTTTAGGTCATTTAGAGATGTGAAGAGAATGTGAAACTTCAAACGTAGTTTTCCCAATACTGTTTTTTTGGGCATTGTGCGCAGCTCGTGGAGCAGATATCTCTGCAACCACTGCACAGATTTTGAGTCTGTTTTGTAACGCTCCTTGTCCTGTGCTTCAAGGGGCTGCGATCCTAGTTTTTCATTTTACTCCCTAAAGAATTTTTCTAGGGTTTCTTGTTTGTAGTGCAAATGTGCTCATTGCAGTGCTCTTGCAGAAAATGTTAACTACAAAATTTAGTGTTTAAAAAGATTATTTTGAAAAAGCAGCCCCCTTCAGCATTTGGCCGTGCATTCAGTAAATACCAACTATTTTTGTCATTTGACATATCCGCTAGCCCCTCCACGAGGTTCAATCAAGAAATAATTTGTATTTCATTAGGTTCCGTGTGTTATCGCCTCGAAATTTTCATGGAAGCACTGTGAAGCTATTTTTAGTGTCTGTGCCAATTTTCATTAGCATCCAACCAGAGACAAAGTTCGTTTCGAAAGGCACGTACCCCCTTTTAATGAGGTTCGAGTGCACACTGAATCTTAAGCAAGAAGTTTTTCTGAAAATAATTTATTCTATTACTGGGCTCCTTCCACACGTGGCCACTCTTACGCAGATGGTGATCTGTGGGGCTTTCTACCCCAATTATTTTTACCAAGAGGACCTTGATGAGGCAATGTGCTGCCGGGGTCTGATGACGGACCCGCTGTGCTCGGTCACTCTCAGCGGGATCCCCCAGAACCAAGGCGTTCTATACGACCATGCCATTCGTTCGCTGCTCGCCCCCTGCAGCAGTCGCATGAAGATCGTCTTTGAGGAAACGCGCGCCACAGTAGAGTTCCTGCAGAAGGAGCGCCGCGACGGTATCCTGCCCGCGGTCTACACGGCTGTCAAGATGCGCCAGCTGCGCATGCCCCTCGAGCTGTCCCTGTTTCGGCCAGAAGACGCCAAGGAGAAGCTCGAGCGGCTGCAGCAGCTCAGGGACGAGGACGACGGCAATGGTGGTGACGGCAAGAGGCGGCTCAAGTCAAATCGGTGGGTGTTGCGGCGTTGTCTTTGCAGGGTGGGGCTGCTGTATTTTGTCGGGTGTAACTTGTTCCTGTGTACGACACGCACCCTTAAAGTGGCCATGACACGCAATTTACGATCGTAATCTGCATTGTATCGGATACTTTTATTGGCATGTGAGTCACCTGAGAGTCCTGAAACACCCACATGCTGACTACATCTTCGTCTTTATCTCTCACTATCTATCTGTCCTGTCTTCTACTCTCTTCTGTTTACTTCCAATTTTCCTGGCGGCAAGGGTTAACCCTGTGCAAATAGCCTACCTTGGTCTAGGCGCATTGGGTTATGGCAGTGTTGTATGGCTGACGTCTGCAAGCTTTCAGCACCTGCAAACTTGCAGCGTCCCCTTGTTGGGCTCCGTGGTGGGTGGCCGCCAACGCTGCTGAACAAAAATAAGACCGGCATGCATGGAGCATTCCCTCTTCTGTCTGATCGTACCGGCCTAAAGCGGGTACGCACCGACGACATAAATTTCTTCAACCAGCCAATAGAAACTTTTCCCCACTTCCACGTCACTGTGAAAAAAACCGGAAAGCAAGCCAGGACCGTATCTCCTTTCGTAGTTGCCAGGTGTCTTACTGAAATTCTCGGGGCTGGATACAAAGTAACCAAAATGGCTAGCGGAGACCTTCTCCTCGAAATTCGGGACAAAGCACAATTTGTAAAGCTAGACAGCCTCTCAACGTTTGGTGACGTACCGATCACCGTAACACCACACAGATCTATGAACACCACTCGCGGAGTGGTATCTGACGCAGACTTACTTGACCTGAGCGAAACTGAACTTTTGGAAGGGTGGAAGAGCCAAAATGTCAATAATGTACAGAGAATCATCATCAGAAGAGATAATAAGGAAATACCGACGAAACACTTAATACTCACGTTTGCATCCAGTAAACTACCAGATTCCATTCAAACAGGGTACACGAAGACATCTATCAGGCCGTATATACCAAACCCTCGTCGTTGCTTCCAATGCCAGAGGTATGATTATGGCTCTAAAACCTGTCGTGGTCGCCAGACTTGTGCACAGTGTGGAGTCCTAAGCCACGTGTCTGAGAACTGCAAACAACCGCCACACTGTGTAAACTGCGAAGGAAACCATGCCGCATATTCACGCTCCTGCGCATACTGGAAAAAAGAAAAAGAAATAATTACACTAAAGGTGAAGGAGAACATTACATTTAAGGAAGCACGGCGAAGAGTCGCTCCATTCTATGGACCTACATACACTGATGCGGCGCGTCAGGGGGCACCGCCGCACCAGCCTCCGCCACTCCTTCGGCCCGCGCATACCGAGCCGGCAGTTGTGGCACCTGCCCCCAAGGCGGCTGTAGCCCAGGCTACACCGCCTACTCCGAAACAGAGACCGGAGACTCCAGAGTCCTCGGGCCTCAAGGCCTCCCCTCACCAGGCGAGGTCCGAAATCCGAACTAATAGCACGCATGTGCGGGCATCAAGTGCCTCTGAGGAGGCAATGGATACGTCGGTACCCTTGGTGCCGAAAGAGCGGCGTGGCTCCTTGGAGCGCGCCAAGAAAACAAAAAAAGCAAATAACAGGGCCTGGTGACGGCCCTGTTAAGTGAACTCCAATTCCCCGTCTAAACAGCCACTCGCTTTTCGTACACACAGCACTATTTTACATTCACCATGAACACTCAAATTATACAATGGAACGTCAGGGGCCTTCTCAGAAACCTTGACGACATCCAAGAACTCTTACACGAACACTCACCAAAAGTGCTGTGTGTACAAGTAACACACTTTAATTCGAAACACACAAATTTTCTTCGTAGATACGTTATTTTTCGAAAGGACCGTGATGATGCCTTGACATCATCCGGAGGTGTTGCCATCATAGCGAATCAAGGAATTGCATGCACACACTTACAACTCCAAACATCCCTTGAGGCAGTGGCTGCTCGAGCGGTTCTTTTTGATAAACTGATCACAATCTGCACTATTTACATTCCTCTTATCTATCAGCTGCAAAAACGTGATTTACACTCTTTAATTGATGAACTTCCGGAGCCTTATGTTCTCCTTGGAGACTTCAATGCGCATAGCAGGCTATGGGGAGACTCTCGTTGCGACGCACGAGGTCGACTGATCGAACAGTTCCTTTTCTTGTCGAGCGCGTGTATCCTAAATCGAAAAGAACCAACCTATTATAATCTCGCTAATAACACCTACTCCTCCATAGACCTAAGCATAGTATCTCCATCTCTTGTGCCTCTACTTCGGTGGAAAGTCGTCAGTAATCTGTACGGAAGTGACCACTTCCCCGTAGTTTTGAGCACAACTACAGCGACTGAGTGTCCACCCCGTGTTCCCAAATGGCTCACAAACAGAGCCGACTGGAAACAGTTTTATACCATCGCTCGTATAGATTGGAGTGACATATGTACTTTAAGCATTGATGTTGCTGTCGACTACTTCACAGCTTTTTTGATTGATGCTGCAACAAAATGCATCCCACAAACCAATGAACACCCAGGAAAACGGCGTGTGCCATGGTGGAACTCTGAATGCCGAAACGCGCGCAAACAGCAAAACAGAGCTTGGAGGCTGCTTCGGAACTCACCGACAGCCGAAAATCTTGACACCTTCAAGAAAATAAAGTCTCAAGGCAGGAGAACGCGTCGGCAGGCCAGAAGAGAAAGCTGGCAGAAGTTTTTGTCAGGGATCAATTCATAAAGTCTGGAACATGGTCGGTAGGATAGCAGGAAAACAAGTACACACACTTCCACTCGTAAACACTCAGGGTGATACCTTGAAAGATCAGGCAAACTTCCTCGGTGCACACTTCGAACAGGTGTCCAGCTCATCCCGCTATACTGACACTTTCCAAAAATACAGAACAAGAATAGAAAAGCAGAAACTCGAACACAAATGCACGAGATACGAGGCATATAACCAAGCTTTCAGTCTAGCTGAGCTGCGAACGTCTCTAAACTCCTGCAGTACTTCTGCCCCAGGTTCTGACCGTGTCGTGTATGAAATGTTAATAAACCTACCAATCGAAACACGAAAAACCTTACTTTGTTTGCACAATGCTATCTGGTTTTCTGGCAATATCCCTACCTCCTGGAAAGAGGCTATTATTATTCCCATTTTGAAAGAGGGCAAGGACCCTTCTTTATTTTCGAGTTATAGGCGTATTGCACTTACAAGCTGCTTGTGCAAAGTGTTCGAAAAAATGATAAACTGCCGACTTGTACATATCCTTGAAACAAACAATTTGCTCGACCCATTTCAGTGCGGGTTTCGAGAAAGTAGATCCACCACAGACCACCTTGTTCGTATCAAGGCACAGATCAGGGACGCCTTCGTTCATTAACAATATTTTCTCTCTGTATTCCTCGATATCGAAAAGGCTTATGATACAACATGGCGTTTTGGAATTCTAAGAGACCTGTCCCACCTTGGCGTGCGCGGAAGAATGTTTCACATAATCGAAAATTACCTGTCAAACCGGACATTTCGTGTCCGAGTGGGCACGGTTCTTTCCCAATTATTTGTACAGGAAACAGGCGGGCCACAAGGTGGTGTACTTAGCTGGACACTTTTTATTATCAAAATGAATTCCTTGCAATTGTCCATTTCTCGCAATATGTTTTATTGTACATATGTCAATGACATCCAGCTTGGCTTTAGATCTTGCAATCTGGCAATGTGTGAGTGGCAGGTTCAGCTAGGTACAAGGTCTCCACGTGGGCAGAGGAAAACGGATTCCGACTGAACCCACAAAAAGCACGTGTGTCTTGTTCTCCCGAAAGAGAGGCATGCACTCAGAACCCGACATTGAACTGAACGGTCAACATCTGTCTGTTAATACGGAGCATAAATTCTTAGGTTTAATCTTGGACAACAAGTTGACCTTTGTACCGCACATCAAATATCTAAAAACAAAATGTTTAAAAGCCATGAATGTTTTAAAAGTGTCGTCACGTACTAGGTGGGGTAGTGACAGGCAATGTCTCATGAACCTATATAGAAGCCTCATTCGCACCCACTTAGATTATGGGGCCGTCGTTTATCAGTCTGCAACTCAAAGTGCTTTGAAGATGCTGGACCCCGTGCACCATTTGGGCATCCGCCTTTCTACGGGTGCTTTTCGCACCAGCCCCGTAGAAAGCCTTTATGTTGAGTCAAATGAGTGGTCGCTTCATCTGCAGAGAACTTACATGTCCTTTGTTTATTTCCTTAAGGGGAGATGCGGGTCGAAAAATCGCGTTTTTTGCGAAAATTTCCACTTTTGAGATATTGCTTCTAAAATCACTTTTGATCATTCAACTATCATTTCCCCAAAGGTCATAGCTGAATTCAAACGAGAAAGTGGTAAAAAGTCGATCTGCGCTAGTGAAGGTAGCTGCCGAAGTCGCGAATTCACGCATCCGACGGCTATTTTTGAAAATCCGCCACTCGGCAACACGATGACGTCCGCCATCGGGGTTTGTTCGGTGGTGTAGATCAAGGCTCCTTCTAGTGTACAGGCGTCCCCCTAGTTTCGTATTTTAGTGAGGAATTTCACAAAACAGTCGTTTCCAAGTCGGTTTGCAGCCAAGCTGCAGCCGCTTCGCGCATCTCTACCGGTCACATGGTACGCTACCGAGGCCGCCATTGGCTACATCTGATCGGCCTCGCTCGCTGAGCGCTTGCGACGATCGGCACTTGCCGTGCGTTTCTACGTTTTTCCGAGTTCACCATGGATAACTCGAAGAAGCGAGACTTCCGAGCACGAAAGTTTGCAAGCAAGAACAAGTACCAAGGGCGTCGACGTAAACCGAAGCGCAAAGCAGCGGTAGAAGAATGCGAGCCGCGGGCCACTAGGCCTAATCAAGGCAGCGGGGATACGGCGGCTTGCGGGAACTTTGACGAAATCGACGCCGCGATCAAGTTCATCAGCGCATCAGAAAAAAGATTGAACAGTTCGAAAGCGAAAGAACGAAGAGTGTTTGTGGCTC